GCCCCAGCAGGGGGAAGCCACAAGACACAACATGGCTGAAAGCAGCAGTGTAGAAAGGAGGGCACCACTTTGGAGAGTAAAGATCTATGTGTAGGATAGGTACTTGAGTACATATTGTGACAAGTCATGACCCACACGGGGCTGTTCCCTGATGTGCTGAGACCCCACTGAGACTAATATACAGACAGCCAGGGCACCCTGTAACCCTGTCTTGCTGAGCCCAGCTCTCCAGCCTGCTTCATGTGAGACACAGGGACAAGGCCACATCCTCAAGGCTGCAAACACATACTGTAAGCAGTACAGTGTGAGACATTTCCCCAACACTCAAGTACATTGCTCCTCTGGGATCTGAACCCTTAGATAAATCTGTCTTGGGCTGCATAGAGAGTTGTACAATATAAGCTCATTAAATTTGCCCTCTTTTTCACTGCGAAGAGAGAGATGCACAGACTCCTTGCAGCTTCAAGTAACAATTATTTGCACAGGGTTTATTAATAAACAAACATTTAATAATAAACATGAATTTATTAAGTGTAAAAGGTAGGATTTAAATGGTCATAAGGGATCACACACAGACCAAAGTAGGTTACTAAGGACAATAAAACAGAACACTCAAACCAAGCTTTATACACTAAAGAAATTGGAAGAGACTGGCTACATTAATATCTTTTCCTAAAAGTTGGTCTAATAAGCTTCCGAACAGACTAGACATCCTTCTAGTCTTGGCCCAATTCCTTCCACCAGTTCAGTCTTAGGAGTTTCCAGCAGTCATCTTGGGCAAGGTATCCTGGGAGAACTGATGACTAGGATTGCTCCACTCCTCACTATTAAGAAGTATTTGCATACGGCGGAACACCTTTGTTTCAAGTTTAAACTCCTACCTGCATCCTATGGAAAAGTAAGACTAGACATCCTTCTAGTCTTGGCCCAATTCCTTCCACCAGTTCAGTCTTAGGAGTTTCCAGCAGTCATCTTGGGCAAGGTATCCTGGGAGAACTGATGACTAGGATTGCTCCACTCCTCACTATTAAGAAGTATTTGCATACGGCGGAACACCTTTGTTTCAAGTTTAAACTCCTACCTGCATCCTATGGAAAAGTACAGAGTTTAAGATGGATTCAGATCTCTCTGTAAGGCTCTATAATTCGTGGGCTCACCCACACGTCTACAGGAAGGTTACAGAATGGCTGTTCCAATGACTCTTGCTAATGAGCCATCACAGCCCTGAAATGTAATCAGTGAGAGTGACCCAAAGCAGCGAATATGCAATTACAGATACACAGTTCAGTTCCTAATCTGAGCTAAAAAAATGATTCATGCATTCAAATGGGATACTCATATTCAATAAATCACAACCTTTCCAATGATAGGTTACATGAGACATCTTGCATAAGTCACCTCATTTATGATATATTTATATCATAAGCAGATTTTCGTAAAGCATATGGAATGCTCTGTCACATATACCCAGATCTTTCAGGCATGTCTGTACTTATGCCTCACTATCTATACTGCTACTGAAGCCAGTTCTGGAAGTGGGGGAGGAGGAACTATTCAAGAACATACTCTATTTGCTGCAGAGAGAAACATGTAGTGTAGACATAGCCTTAGGCACATTTGAAAATGTTACCTGTGATCTCTATATTGAAGAGTTAACAAAGTATATGAGATAGGATGTAACAAAGGGAAATGTGGCAGTATGTTGGGAGAGGAAAACAGAATGTGGGTAATATCAATAAGATGACAGATATACTGTGATGCAAGTAGATTTTAACTCTGCATGGATACACATTTATACCTGCAGATGTCGGCAACAGTGAAAGAAATAGGGCATGGCCCCACTGCTCCTAGGAGCTAGCACTCCATGCCAGCTGCTCTCCCAGCATAGCTGTATTGCCTCCAGCCCCAACCTCCCGCTCTGTCATCCAGATATCAGACCGGAGGCGCAGCTGTGTTGAAGGGCTGGGAGCGGTACAGCCACACCACAGGAGCTACAAACATGGGATGCTAGCTCCTGGCAGCAGTGGGCCCATGTTTTGATAGCCAGAAGTGGGAGGGAGCTGGTGCCATAGCGATGAGAAATAGAGAGGTTGAATGGTTCTCTCACTGGTTGATAGGCAGCCTCAAGTACTTTTTTCAATGCCACTAGTGCTCTGGGATCCTTAAAACAAGCCTGGCTTTTTAACACGTTACGCTCAACCATCAATGAGGTTTTTGTATTTAGAACTGGTGGAGTATATAAAATGCCCAGCTGCCTTGGATTTCATTGCAGCTGCTCTGCGATTGCCTTCCAGTGTCTAGTGCAGCAGGGATAGAACTCAGAACCTCATAATTCACAGGCCTTGCCTGCCTGAGCTAAAGGGGAGACTTGATTGGTTGGGAGCAGCCTCAAGCTAATGGTGCTTTGTTGAACAGTTCTGAGTCCATCCAGTAGACAGCAGGGATATGCATAGACATATGCAGGCTGCTCCGTAATCACAGTATATGTGTTGTGTTCTAGTGGAGGGGGTAATGGGGTGAAAGGAGGCACAAGGAGTGGAGATTCTAACCCCTTAGCTTTGGAGATGAGAGTTGGGTGGGGGGAGAAATAAGGGTATGTCTACACTGCATCCCTAGTTCGAACTAGGGATGCAAATGGAGACAATCGAAGTAGTTAATGAAGCGGGGATTTAAATATCCCGCGCTCCATTAACATGATCTCGCCGGCGCGCTAGTTCGAATCACAGCTGATTCGAACCAGGAAGTGCGCGCCGGGACGCGTTAGTTCGGACTAAAGCCCTTAGTCCGAACTAATGTTACTCCTCA